ATTTAATTAATAAAAGACCTCTATAACTTCTGAAAATGTCAGAGCTAGTAATTATGTTAACCAGTGTAATTTTTCCCCCTCTAGAGAATAAAGCGTTTTAATGATTTGAAATAGAAAGTTAGTAAGGAAAACACCCCTACCCCATTTCTTCTTAACTTTTGCATTATCCATTCAGAATATAGTGACTTAGGTATTTTCCCTTCAATAGTTGAAGAGCCTAAGCTGACCTCTCATTGACTTCTGAACTGGACCCAGACATTCTTTGTTTTCTGAAGCAAAATGCAGTAAACAAATCTCCCAGTTCTTATAGCCCAGATTGCTTTGGGGCACTTGATTAACGTCTTCCTTAATCCCCTCAGTTAACCCCCTTTCATATCACCTAACCAGGTTTCTCCCTTTTATAGACCTCTACATAGTTTATTTCACTTTTCTCACAGCCATTCATTAGCTTTGACTTCTTGGTACCTTTCTCGTATCACATCCAGGCTCTTATCGCCAGCATTCCTCTATTATCTCCACTAGATTTTAAATCTATTTTCTTTAAGCGGTCTTTCCCTCCTCTTATTTCTGTTTTTTGAAATGTAAATGCTGATGCTGGGGTGAGATGTGGAGAATGAATGTTCTTGAAGTACAAACCCCAAGTCTCCACACCACAGGACAACTGAAAGAGCGATCACATTTTCACAGGCATCTTAGAGTTAGGTGGCAGATGATAAACTCTTATCATTCTGTGAACACAGCTGCCAAACCCGATTGATTAACAGGCTTATGTTTATTCTGGGCTGGCAAATACACACACATTTTACCTTAAGAGTACCTCTTTAATTTCTGAGGGTTTTGGAGCTGACTCATCAGTGTGAACTTTTGAGACAAAAGCCTAATTCGGGATATAGGTCTTTCCAAAGATACAACTCCTTATAGGAGAACAGAAAATGAGAAGAGAGTTCTCAGATAGGACTGTACCAAGAGCCTAAAGGGGCACCACTTATTTTAAAAGCCTCCTTGCAAGGGTCTAAACAATAGAGACATAGGCCCCAGCCTGCCTCTTTAAAGTCTTCCTTCTCTATATTTGTGAAGATAATCTGAGACAAGGAGAGTAAGCTGAGTATGGAAGGCCCATGGGTAAGAATCAGGGGCAAGTGCCAGAACTCTTCACTGGGTCAAGTTTTCCCAAGATAAAAGTTTTTATCTTTTTAAGGCAATAAAAAGCAAATAAACTGAAAAAGCAAATAACTGAAATAAACTAAGGATAGGTGCTCTCATAGAACAGGTATAACTATCACTGTAGTTTGCTAAGGTATCTAGAACCATCCCTTCACCTTTTCCTTTTAATAGGAGATTAATTGCCACCCTGCTAAAGTTTTTTTCTTTTTTTTTTTTTTATGGCTACTAGATTGCAACTCTACATGTCCTCTGTGCAATTTCTCTCAGCAAGCCCCAACTGTAATAACTGTTTGCTAATTGTAAAATCCTTATCCAGAATGAGGTTTGGGCAAACAATTTGTACTACTGTAATTACATTGTAAAAGTGTTTTAGTCTCTTGATTGTTCTGAATTAATCTTATAAAGGCCTAGGAGTAGCATTTGATTCACAGTTATAAGTGGAAAGGGAGGGGAAGAAGAAAGTTTTCAAAATTAATATGAGTTTACTTCAAGCCCACAAACTCAAACTCTCTTTCTTTAAGGAAAATCTGTGTGCAGGTATTTAAAGTACGTTTATAAGGCAATCTGACACATCATGGTTGAAAAGACAATAGCCTTCTTAATGCTTTGAAATTTTTGGTTGTTTCAAAAGGAGTGACTTACCTGAACCTTCTTTTTTTCATCTCTGCTAGAAAATAATAACAAAAAAAATTTACCGGAAAGCAACAATAAAAATAAATTATAATTTTTTTCAAATTTGGAAAACTTGTCTTTTCCAAATTTGAAAATGTGGCCGAAGAGTTGAGAGAACTCCAAGCCGGTTACCTAAGTCTTGACGGAGAAGCCCTAGTGCTGTTAAGAGTCTACTGTGGTCATCGAAATGTATTTCGCGGGAAATTTCTCTCGGTTAAAGTACACTTACACAATTTTCCTTGCAGTTCATTTAAAGATCATAAACGTAGGTGTGCCCATGTCGAGGTTTGGCTTGACCCGCCCCCCTCCCCTGGTTTCTCCCTATGCCAGCCACGCGGATGCCTGGCGGGCCTGCTGGAGAGACTGTGCTCACATCCCCGCGAGCAACCCTCTGAAGGCGCTCAGGTGTCGAACGTAGCCGGCTAGGGTTCGGGGAAGGGCTTTCGGGCTGCCGGCCCAGATTGGTTCTCTCTGTAATCGGAAAAGAATCGCGTTGCCTGGCCCAGCCAGCGCTGTTTCCCGAGAAATAAAGGAAAGAAATCGCCTTCCTGAGACGGAGAGGTTTCATCTTGGCCTGAAATTCTGCTTCCAAGTTCACGGGGGCGGGGGGGGGGGGGCGCGAGAAGGGGTCAGGTAGTGGCATAAAGGCGCTGACATGCGGGCCTGCCTTAACCTCCTGCGTGATGTATAGGGGCGTTTGTGCCAGAAAACTGTACACATGTTTGCGATGGAGAAAAGCAGAAGATCCTAAAATTTGTGTGTGGGTGTGCGTGTGTGTGTGTGGGAGGGAGAGAGAGAGAGAGAGAGAGAGAGAGAGAGAGAGAGAGAGAGAGAGAGAGAGAGAGAGAGAAGGGGGAGGGGAATGGGGAGGAAGAGGGAGGGAGGGAAGGAGGGAGGAATTGGTGAGGGATCCTAGGGTGAGGTTTTTTAAGCAGCCGGAGCTCTTTCAAGGTAAAGCGCATCTGAGGCTTTGGGTGAAAGTGTGTCGGCTCTTGAAGCACATATGGGACCAGCACCGTGTCGAGGCGGGGGCGGTGTGCGAGAGGCTGGGAAGACTCAGCTACTCCGCTTCACAGGAACTCCTCTGTTGGGGGGAACTGGGCACTGACTCGTGTGAAGTACTAAAATAAGCAATAGATGTCGCTTAGGGAGGCTACGGTCGCTCGGTGGAACCTGATTCCAGTTCTCTGTTCTGATGCTCTCTTTGTGTCCCCTACTCCTCGAGAGCCCACTTAACAGAAACTTGAACCCTATCTCTTGGATTGATGTAAATTTTCTTTTAGTTTGCACATTTAACAATTGGCCTCAATACATTTTAGAGCTCCTAACCTTTTCCAAACAATCTCTGCGGACAGGAGCTCCCTAATCCTTCTCAAAACTCTTCTCCCCCACTTATACTCCCCTTTGGGGTGGGGGTTCGATGTGCAGCTGGCAGGGTGAAATGGGGAAGGGGACGATGGGGGCGTGGAGACGGCTGCTTTGGGGCGGGGGGTCAGCCTTTTGGCCACCATCGGGGCGGGAATCCGGATTGGCAGTTTGCATTCCCGGCTGATCGAAGCTCCCTGCTGATCGATTATTTGATAATTGATTTTCCCCGCAGCCAATACGCGTCCGCCCTGGCGGGAGCGCCTCCTGATTGGCCGAGCCCTCCTCCACCGCTGCCTACCGAGATTTGGGTGAGCTCATTTTCCAGTCGACCGCAGGGGGAGTTTTCTGCAAGGTTTCAGCTGAAGGGAGGGGGAAAAAATCCTGCTCGGAGTCGAGCGAGCTGCGAGCCCTGCTCCGGGATGTGAGGTTTCCAGCCTGCTGGTTGAGCTGCTGCGGCTGAGCCATCTCGGCAGATCTGAATCGGGCGGGCTGAGAAATAAAAATGAAAATGACACCATCAAATATAATAATAAAGGGCAAGTTTAAAGTGAGAGAATAAAGAAGAGAATTTTTTGTTTTGTTTTGTTTTAGCTAGAGAATAGGTATTTAAAGGGAGAAAGTTCAAATCAGTGGTTGATTGGAGCCTCCGAGTTGTGGATAGGGGCAGCTTTTTGTCTGAAACCTCAGCTCCTGAAGTGAATGTCTTTGGTACTGGGAGTTTTCCTTGAGCCGGGCTGAGGAAAGCGGAGTGGAGTGGGGGAAGGGCTGGGGAGGAGAGCGCGGAGTGTTGTCAGGGAAAAGCTGGGGCCGCCGAGTCCCTCCAGGCCCGAGCACGGCCACGGCCGGGGCCCCTCAGCGCCTCGAAGACAAAGGCGGCGCGGCCGTAACCCTAACCTAACGCGCCGGCCCGTCGCGCCGCGCCCTGGGCGCACCGCCGCCTCGCCTGGAGCGGATCGGAAAAAGCCTCCCTCCCCGCGGCGCCCGGGCCCCGGCTCCACCCGCGAGGTCTGGGCTGCTCCAAGCCCGCGTCGGGTTTCGCTTTCCGGCGATCATAAATAGCTTCGTGTTTGTAAACAGGCGCTGGGGGCACATTCCCGGCTCTCAGCTCATTGTTCCCTCCCTTCCTCTCTCACTTCGCGCAGGACGCCAGGGCTGGGGCTGGGGGCCTCCGGGGCTAGGAGGTGGGGGCGTCCAGACCCCCGAAGTGAGAAAATGCAAGCATTTCCTTTCCTTGGGTCGGGTGTCCACCTCTGACAGTTAAAAACTCTAAGCTGGATCTGCAGAAAACCTCAGACATCTCCACCCCACGTTCTTGCGACTCCTCAGCAGAGCCTTTTCTAACCTTGCTCCTGCTTCTCCTTCCCTCTCCCGTTTGACTTTTCAACTTGGGGTGCTTAGTTCTGAGAATCCAGTACTTTCCGCGTCACCCCCCCTCTGCCCGAAAAATTCTGGCAGACCCCAATAATTTCGAGGAAAGTCTTGAAGTCTATGCGCAGAGCTCTGTGCAAAATAACTCCCACCTCTGCCTTACCCCTCGTTTATTCCCAATTTATTTCAAGAGTCGGCTTTAGGGAGAGTCTGGAGGGGGGAGGGAGAAAAAAGAATACGGAAAATAAAGCCGGCGGCCGGGATCTGCTGGCCGCGTTTGTGCGCGTGTGCCCTGGATGTGCGGGTGTTTGTGACTGGGCGTGCGATTTAATGGAGCGCCTCTCTGCTTCTCCAGTGCGGCCAGAGCTCGGTTCGCGCACCCACCCCTGCCGAGGAGCCTACTTGCTGCAGCCCAATGCATTGTGTAAGACGCGACCTGTTATGGCCACCACTACTTCCGGGTTCTAGCATTCTGGTCGGAATCCACCTCTCCGCCTGTGCAACACACACTTTACACACGCACGGGGACTGCAAGAGGGCAGCATCGATTGTGGCTCCTTTAAGACAAACTCAGACAGACATTTTTTTTAACCCTCCTCCTCTAATCTCCCTCCAGTGCAGCAGTTGCAAAGAGGGAGAGAGAGAGAAAGAGAAAGAGAGAGCGAGCAAGAGAAGAAACTGATTAGGAATTAGGACTGATTCAAGGGAAGCGAGCGCTAGGGCTTTGTGCATTTGAATATTAACATTTGAGGTGTTCTGACCAGAAGAAGACAGAGCGGATGATCATTCATTCACCACGTTGACAACCTCGCCTGTGATTGACAGCCGGAGTGGCAGAAAGCCATGAGATTTGGTAGTTGGGTCTGAGGGGCGCTCTTTTTTTTTTTTTTTAAACTCATTTTTGAGGGAGAGAAGATCTTTTTTTTTTCTTTTTCTTTTTTTCTTTTATTTTTTTTCTTTTTTTCTTTCTTTCTTTTTTTTTTTTCTTTGCCCCCGCTGCTGTCTTGGAAACGGAGCGCTTTTATGCTCAGTGACTCCGGCGCTTTGCTTCAGGTCCGGTAGACCGAAGATCTGGGACTAGTAGCTCACGTTGCTGGAGACGTTAAGGGATTTTTCGTCCTGCTTTTTCAAAATTTTTTTTCCGGGGGAGTTTGCGTATTTCTTTCTTTTCACACTGGCCTTAAAGAGGATATATTAGAAGTTGAAGTAGGAAGGGAGCCAGGGAGGCCGATGGCGCAAAGGGTACGTATTAAAAAACAATTGTGGAACTCAAATGTGAAATTAAATTGAAACGTGGCTGAAAGACACTGCTAAAAAGTTTCCTTTTTTCTCTGTCTTTTTGAATCAGGCTCCTAAAGCCGTGGCCTAAAGCAAGAGTATTTATTCAATGCATTTGTAGACTTATGTATGTTACATGTAATTGTTAATTGGAGTAGTCAAATTTTCTACAGATTCCTAACCAGCAGCTATACAAACAAAATACAAGCTCGGGCAATCATCTGGTTAAAAAATAATAATTATAATAAAAAACAGAAACGCTAGATGTCTAATGCTATAATGTGAGCATTCAGGGAGCAGAAGTTTAGAGCTATTTTAAAACTAAAAGAAGCAGCTAGAAACTTCTAATATGTTATTGATTATGTTCATCTTTAATATCATTAGAAGTATTCAGCTTTTTTAAGCAAATAACTTTTCCATAGTACAGTGGTTTTTTAGATCAGGAAACTTTCATCTTTTAAAAATAATTTTAATGTGCATAGATTTTTGTGCAAGGTAATACTTTGAAAGTTTTTCTTAGACAATCCCTGCACTAATTGGATACTAAGCACACAGCTACTCACTTCTAAAATGCAATACTAATTTCCCTAATATTCCTATTTGAATGGAAATGTAGTGAGAGTAAAGTGAGACAATGACAACCCAACTGAGGTAGTTTCTTGAAAGAAAGGAGGTCTACAAAAAGCCTTCCTTGCATAATTTGTGTCCTGGCCCTCAAAGCCCTGTTTGCAAAAGAAAGTTACTAGGCTGACACATTTTTCTTTACTCCTTTGGTTCAGGCAAATGTCAGCGTTCTTCCAAACTCTTTTCACACCTCTGGCTCTAAGGAGATGAAAGTGGCAATTCCTCTTTTCTTTGAAAATCATTTCACTCTCGATGTCTTCAAATGTTCAGGGGAAAAAAACTTTCCTGGAATGAACCAATGAGAAAAATCTAAATAGCTAAATTTTGCCAACAAAAATAATGACAATCAATATGAAAGTTTTTCTGGAGGAAGAAGATGGGGGTGGTGGTGTTGTATGTGAATTTGCTACTGAATTTGCTTTAAACCTGACGAGTAACATTTGCCTCATTGACTTCTAGTCTGGGAAGAAAGTTCGTAAGAGTAAAGAAAATAGAGTAGCTAACTGTTCCAACTATGGATTTTCTTTAACATTGTGATGGAAATTGCCCAATTCTTAACTCAGCTCTAATGTACAAGAAAATCTACCCTTCTCTGAGTTTCACTTATAAGGGGACCAGTTAGTTTTGTATAAATTAGCTTAGTTTGTCTTGGAAAGCAAAGGAAATGCAGTGTCTTGCAGGACTGCCTAACCCTCGCTGGCAGGGAAATAAAACAAGAAGTCTGTCTGAATTCACGTGCTTGGCGTAGCTGTTCCCATCCTAACTTTTTTTTTTTTTTTTTTTTAATTCTCCCTGATGGGAAGGGGCTGTGAAATTAGGCAGGTTTGCTGCACTGTCCTGGCACGTTTTATTGTTGTGATTTTGAATTTCCTTCTCTAGAGACATGCACTTTTTACCACATTTACCTTCCAGGAGAATGCCTCCATTTCTTTCCTTCTTTCTTCTTTCCTTCCTTGCTAAAGGATTCTGAATTTCTTAACTACTGATAGAGACACAAGTTAAGGCAAGACCGTTCATCCTAGCCGGGTCTCACCGAGAATCCTAGAATTTTTACTTTAAAAATTATTATTATTTTTTTAAATAAGAAATCTCTAAAGACTCAAGGCCACCGAATTCCAGGTTGAAGGATCCAGTTGGACTGACATTATATAAGCTCCGTGCCTTGCCGCTCTCCCATTTGCCCTCCTGGCCTTCTGAACCTTGCTTCTCTTCCTGTTTGTCATGCAGTACGACGACCTACCCCATTACGGGGGCATGGATGGAGTAGGCATCCCCTCTACGATGTATGGGGACCCGCATGCGGCCAGGTCCATGCAGCCGGTCCACCACCTGAACCACGGGCCTCCTCTCCACTCGCATCAGTACCCGCACACAGCTCACACCAACGCCATGGCCCCCAGCATGGGTTCCTCCGTCAATGACGCTTTAAAGAGAGATAAAGATGCCATTTATGGGTAGGTACAACGGGCAGCAGGTTAAATGGATGAGAAACGGCGCTTCCCCTATTTCCCTTTGCCCTCGGTAAGGGGAAAGCCAGAGGTCTCTGGATTGGAGGTACATTGCTTGATGACTCTTCATTCGCTCTGCATGGAGAATTTGGGAAGGTGGCCTACCATTCCGGACGCCCTCCTCTATACAGGCTCCGCGCCAGCCCAGCTCCCCGCTCCGCCGAGGCCATGTCCGCGAAGGGGTCGCCGTGCAGGAGAAGTTGCTCAAGGTCCCTCGTCCTCTCTCAGACCCCGGCTCCGTAGCTCAGCGGGTTTGAGTCCTGGCTCGCTCCCATGCGCTGGGAGAGCGTTGGGGGGTTTCTAAATGTAGGCGCCTTTGTGTTGGAACGAAACTTTTAGTTTAAAGGAAAATCTTTTAAGCCACTGATTGTTCTGACTTGCTAAGTTTACTCAGCAATCGTATGCTGGCTCTGCCACCGCACAATAAAATCAAGGGAGGACAGTTGCAGGTCAGGCAAGGGGAAAAAGCTTTGCATTTAGAGAGTCTAACCACTGTAGTCAAGGAGAGGAGCTCGATCTGAGTTGTTACAGACATTAAGAAACTTCTACTTATTTTAGACTTTGTGATCAAAGGCGAACCTGCAGGATTTAGAAGTAGATGCGGGATGATATGGGCCGTGTTGTTTTCTGGCTGCGGTTCACACCGTGTTCTCTCCGTCATCGGATTAGCCCCTGGACTAGTAAAATCCTTTGAAAGTCATTCGTGCCTACTGTGTGCTGATGAATTTGGGGACCTCTTTTGACTTTGCATCAACTTTTATTTCTTTTTTAAAAATCGTGCAACGCTGACCATCCCTAGCTAAAAACCCTTTCTGCCTTATTTTTCTGGTCCCTTGTGTGATGGGCTTGTTTAAATCCCAGCGTTGTCTCCTCAGCGTTAACTGCAAATGGTTTAGGCTCTGGGACAGAACATTTGGGGAAGCTTTGAAAAGAACCCCAAACTGTTAAATTTCCAGCTGGGCTGTGAGAGCTAATAAAAGACTTGAGACACCTCCTTGGGCATTAGAAGAGGCTTTTTTTTTTTCTTTTATGGGCTAAGATAAGAACATCTAGGCCCCTCACAGTACTAGCTGCTTTGCCATTCTGCGGAGACAAAATGAAAGGCTTTCTTGCAGGACCATTGGAAGGAACTTTCTTTGGGGGGTGGTGGGGAACATCGGCGAAGGGAACAGTATGCAGAGAGCCGAAGAGGCGCCTCCCAGCTCTGCGAGGGTTGTGGGGTGGAGATCGGTAGGTGTAGACCCTGACAGCCGGTCCCGCAGCCGTAGAGGTCCTTTCTCCAAGTTAGCTGAGCGCCTGCCACCGAGATCCCCAGCCTGCGGCTTCGCGAGGCCGCCTTGGAGGAGCCCACTGGAACGAGCTATCCCAGCCCCTATGCCCAGCGCCTTTCACCTACTCCAGGTCCTGGATGTGCAGCAGAGGGACGAGGGCTTGTCGGGTGGGAAACTTAATTCAAAATGGCTGCTGGAACCGCTTGGGTTTTATTCTTAGCAAATGTTACCAATTTCTCTGGCCAGATGCTGCACC